GGCTCTAAGATAGTGTGTGTGGCTCTCTAAAAGTGTGTGTGGCTCTCAGAGAGTGTGTGAGGCTCTTAGAGAGTGTTTGAGGCTCCTAAAGAGTGTGTGTGGCTCTCAAAGAGTGTGTGTGGCTCTCAAAAAGTGTGTGTGGCTCTCAAAAAGAGTGTGTGACTCTCAAAAAGAGTGTGTGTGGCTTTAAGATAGTGTGTGTGGCTCTCAAAAAGTGTGTGTGGCTCTCAGATAGTGTGTGAGGCTCTCAGAGAGTGTGTGTGGCTCCTAAAGAGTGTGTGGGTCTCAGAGAGAGAGTGAGTGGCTCTAAGATAGTGTGTGTGGCTCTCAAAAAAGAGTGTGTGGGTCTCAAAGAGAGTGTGTGGCTCTCAGAGAGTGTGTGTGGCTCTAAAAAAAAGTGTGTGGCTCTCAAAAAGTGTGTGTAGCTCTAAGAAAGTGTGTGTGGCTCTAAAAAAAGAGTGTGTGGCTCTAAGAAAGTGTATGTGGCTCTAAGAAAGTGTGTGGCTCTCAAAAAAGAGTGTGTGGCTCTCAGAAAGAGAGTGTGTGGCTCTCAAAAAGAGTGTGTGGCTCTCAGAGAGTGTGTGAGGCTCTCAAAAAGAGTGTGTGTGGCTCTCAAAAAGTGTGTGTGGCTCTCAAAAAGACTGTGTGGCTCTCAGAGTGTGTGAGGCTCTCAAAAAGAGTGTGTGGCTCTCAAAAAGAGTGTGAGGCTCTCAGAGAGTGTGTGTGACTCTTAAAGAGTGTGTGTGGCTCTTAGAGAGTGTGTTTGACTCCTAAAAAGTGTGTGTGACTCTCAGAGAGTGTGTGTGTCTCTCACCTGGAGGCCGCCACGATGGAGGCGTTGAGTCCCCCGAAGCAGGAGAGGGCCACGGCGAAGGGGATAGTCCAGTTCATCACGCCGAACACCCGGTCAGCAAAGGTCTGCGGGCAGAGGCCGTCAGGGGTTAGGGTTAGGGTCACGGTTAGGGTTAGGGTCAGGGTTAGGGTTAGGGCGTCCTAGGGACACCTACCACGGCCACAGCGTCGCTGTCCAGGATGGCGTTCATGGGCAGGACGGCGTAGTAGGCCACGTTGGTCAGGATGTAGATGACCGTGACGATGGGCATGGAGATGGCGATGGCCAGGGGCAGGTTCCTGCAGTTCACACACACAACCAGCAGGGGGGGGCGGGGGTCACTACAGCCCCAGGTGTTCGCCACCTAATCCGCCCGGTAACTCGGGAGGGGAGCCTTCCAGATTCAGTCTCGTGATGGCTATTATCTTATTATCTTATCATAATCTTATATTATCATATTTTTTGTTCTCTGTCCGGCCGTAAGAATCGAAGGAAACCTGTCGGACGTTTCCCCGAAAGCCCATCTGCCTCCTGTTTTGTGCTAAAGGGAGGTTTTGGCCTTTTTGGTGGGTTTGTGTTGTTATTTTGACGGAGTTCTGGTGTAAGATTTTATTTCTTAAAGGCAAAATAAGGAGAAAACGTCACGTTTAACAG